CCGCGCCCCCGCTCCCCCCCGCCGCCCCCCCCCCCCGCCGCTTCCCGGTTCCCGCTTCACCTCGTTCTGCCGCTTCAGGGACGGCGTTTCTGTTTTCCCAGCCCCAGCACCTGTTGCCCCGGGGGGAGAAGCCCCTCACGGCTCCAGCCAGGGAGGTGCCCGGGCTCAGGGAAAGCCAAACGAACCGCAGCACGGGAGGAAGAGATGCAGGAAGCCGAAGAGGATGACATGACATGCGGAGACCTGGGGAACGGGCTGGGGAGGAGACCCGGAGGTGTTTATGCAGAGGAACATTTACAGAACTCGTCTTCGTTTCGGCGTAGGAAGGGATCCGGGAAGGTTTGCGGTTGTGTGTTGGCAGCCAGGAGAGGGGACGGGGCTGATGCTGCTGCGGCGCGTCCCGCCCCGGCGCGGTCCCGCAAACAGCCCCGCGCTGGTCCCGCCCCGGACAGCAGCTCTGGTAAGAGCAACTCAGCACCTGCCTCTGCCCTGCCACAATCAGCAATTTTCATTTTTATACCTCTGTGTGTGTATATATACACACATCTATATATTTATTATTATCATAATCATTTGCAAAACCGAGCAGTTGAGCTGCTTTACCCGGGTGCCGGGTTAAATTCCAGCTGTTTGCCACAACGCTGGGAATCCCCTGAAGGATCCCAGGAAGTGCTGGTGCCTGGCAGGTCGGTTGGTGCAGCCTGTGACGCCGGTGAGGGTGGCAGGAGGAGAGAGATGCTCCGTGCTGCCCGTGGAGGCACCAGAGGGGTCTCTGCGCTCACATCTCCCCCCCCAGAACATTTAACAGCAGGATTGCTTTTCAGGGAAGGAGGCTGTAGGCCTTTCCAGTGTAAAATTACCATTTTTTAAGCGTTTACTTTTGCATGTGAAAGTGACATTTACCAAAAAAGCATCCTGGGGGGGGAGGGTCCCAGCATGGTTTTTCTCTAAATACATACATGGAATGGAATGGCTTAGGTTTGGTGAAGTGTGTGTCTTCCCAGTGATTGTATCCAAAGCTGATGGCTAAATGTTCCAATTCTTGCCTGCTGTTTAGTTGAAATTTGTGATTTGGCATAATTTTGAGGTAAGTTGTTTCTGGAACCTGCCTACCTCTGTTCTCAGGTTTCTTGTGAAGACAGCACTGCTGTAAATAGTAATAAAAAAGAAGGCAGTGCTGTTCATTATACTTCAGCTGCTTTCCCTTAAATGTTTAGCCATTTTTAGTATTTTGACAAGTATTTCCATATAACTTGCTTTTGTCTCCGCCTTAGAAAAAGTCCCCACTCTCCTCTCCACAGCCTGCAGTAAACTGAGCAGTGTAGTTATTATTTATTGGTTTCAGCATCTTCAGTGGGAAGATGTTACAGAACCAGCATAATTCTTACTGGCTTCACTGTCCTTCTTCAGGTCTTAATATGATGCTTGTCTTACATCCGGGTCTTTTCACTCACTCATGTCCATGAAAGCACAAGTGAAGCCCACATGAACCTTTAGTGGGAGGTTGCATCTTGACATACCTCTGCAATGCTCAGTTGGAGAAAAACCAGTAGTAACTGCTTGTTTAGAGGAACTTTGGATCTCGTGGAATACTCCACCATCCTACCCCATCTCCTGAAAATTGCTCCTGCTTCTAAAAGAGTGTTGGCTACTGTTGTGTTGAGTTGGGTTGTTGCAAAGTTACACAATTTGAACCTGATCTAAAAATTAATGGGTTTTTTTGCATCAGGCTGGCAATTTTGGTGTGGGTTTTTTTTGTTTGTTTGTTTAGTTTTTAAGGAAATTCTGAAATAATTTTCCTTATTGTAGGTCTCTTTATACTGCTCTTTTTTTTCCCCATTTCATTCACTGTGAAATAATGTGTTTGAGCTTAGTCTTTAAATACTTCTTAAGTCTGTTTATGAGCTCCAGAACTGAAAAACCCACAAAGATGAAAATTCACTTCTGCATGTTACCAATTTTCAAGGTAAAGCAAATTATGTTCTCTTTTGTAAATATTATAATGCCTCATTGTTTAGTATCTTCTGTCAATCCCACAGAATCTAATACTGAAGTGTCAAATGAAGAACTAAAGCAACAACTACAGGAAGCTCTAGAGGTCAGTAACTGGGCCAAGTCTTCTGCTCTTCAAACCTACATTTCCTTCTAATGTAGCAAAGAGTAATGAAATTTTAGTGTAGCTAAAGATCTTGGCATATTCAGAATCTTGGACGGATCCAGGTTCTTTAAATTAGAGTGTCAGTTGAAAGCTTCATTAAATTTTATGCCAGGACATCACAGTGTGAGATGCAGTTTATACTCTGGATTATTATTATTATTATTATTACTACTATTATATTATTTTGGGGGGTGGGTTAGAAGTATTTGTAAACATGTAGAGAATAATAAAGGGTTGTAATCCTTTTCTAGTAGGATTTTTTGAATTTTTTTTTTTAATTAAGCTTTGGGCCTGAAAACCTACAGTGTGAACAGAATAGTCATTAGGGTTTAAATCGGTGGTTTTGCTGAAAGGTAGTTAGCTCCTACCTTTTAATTTCACCATGGTTAAATGTATTGATGCATTTGCATCAGTCCAGGCAGAAAGTGCAGGTTGATCACAGCTCTAAAAATACACACTTAATCTGCTCTGTGTTCTCAGGAAAGCCCACAGTAGCTCATTTTCCAGCTATTGTAGCAGATGGAGCTTCAGTGAGCAGCAAGTTACAATGTCAGGGAGTCCTATTTATTTCCAAATAGCCCAGTCTGTGAAAGGGTCACTGTTCCAGGTACAGTTTCAGTACCTAAAGCTAAGTAATAGAACTGGAAAAGCTATGAAAAAAGTTTGGTGTGACTGCAAGTGAACAATTGACTGACACCTACATAGTGGTTAAAGAAAGATAAGCATACTTAGTACATTTTCTTTTAGCTCTTGGAAGTGGAAAAACTTCTGCCTTCTGAAGGTGGGAATGTTCCATTGAGACATGATTGGCATCAGGACTTGGAGCAGGAGTTGGTTTTGTCCTTGTTGTTCTGTCCTGGACAAGTACTGGCTTTGATCTAACAGCTGTAACATGCGACCTGTGCTATAGGCTATGGATGCTTTGTATAATATAGTACATCATATTAATAATTTCTTTAGTATATATTTGTAATATATACAGTTTATTTTTTAGGTGCAGCCTATATTCTGTTTTGATTACTTATTTTAAAGCTCCAGACCTGTGTTGGTGTATACAACTTCTTCAGCAAGGCAGAACTGCATTATTTAGTGGTTTATGTTCCAAATGCACTAAAAGAGAACAGAAAAATTAATAATTCAAAGTTATTTAATGATTTTGTGCTAACCTGTGCAAGCTGCATCACAAGCAAGCTATTAGTGAGAAAATAATCATATAGGGTAGAAACAGGAAAAGGATTATTTTCTGAAGATAGCAGATTCCCATTGCTATTACAGTTGAGTTTTAACAGGATTAGCTTTGTCTTTCACTCAGTGCACCTGTTTTCTTTTGCTTCAGGCAGTTGAAATTTTGAAAGTTGAGCTTGAAGCATCTCAAAGACAGCTTGAAGGAAAAGATGAAGCCCTTCGAATTCTGCAGAGCATGGTAGGATTTGTTCTGAAATCTTTGAGTTACCTGGTGGTAAAGGAAAGAACATGGAAGAAATCTGCCTTCCATTCCTCATCCAAATCCCTGAAACTTTTAAGTCCTTCCCCAGGGCTGTAATTTAAGGCATTGAGCCTGCAGGTGTCTACAGACTTGGCTTCTACAATTTACTACTTTTTCTACATGAAACCATTGCAGTTACTTTAGGAGACTTTACTGTTGCAGCAAATTACCATAATTTTACCTTTGAGGATGCCTGAGGATTTATTTATTTTACATTAAATAATAAAACCTTGTTTCCAGGCCTTTACATTTTAGATTTTGCCAGTGCTTGTAGTTTTGCTGCAAAGCACAGGTATTTTCAGTTTTCATCTTTGCCTTAGAAGGCAGTTTGCATTACACATTAGTCTGTTGTTTCCAGTTTTTAACAGTTTTATTCAGTATCACAATGAATTATGTTGAAATCAATTCCTGTTGCCTTACTTGCATAACCCTTTTACAGTTCTGCAGTTCCTACCCTGGGACATTTGTATTAAGTTACAACTGGATCAAAGTATAAATATGTTGTAATCAAGTTTTTTTAGACCTGATTTTGTGGACAAGCCCTGAAGAAGATTTGATCTTACTTTAAATGATGCTACATTTTTTAATAGAAAAGATATTGAGATTGAAACACCAGTTTGCTATGCAACATAGCTGTTTAGTGACTTGAAATTAGAACCCACTGGGACTTAACAAGCAAGTTGTTAGTGTTTGTAATTCTGCATCCTCAAGTTTAACTACGTATATGTACTTCTGTTGATGCAAAACTGAAAATTTGGCTAAAGCCAAACTAAGTAGACTTAATTACAGCATTTGAAAGAGTTGTGCTTTTGTTTTTTTCAGGCAGTATTTAATAAAGCCACTAGTCATACGAAAGCAATGCTCCAAAAAACTGAGGAAGAAAAGAGAACCTTGGAAAAGGTAAGGGTGCCTGTTTCCTTCACACCTGTGCAAAAACATAGAAGTCCATTGCTGTTTGTAAAGGGTTTTCAGGCTGTTTATTTAAATCAGTACAAAGCTGCCATTACTTTCAGGTTGTTTTGGAAAGTGTTCTTATTCCTTTTAGTAGAAAGGGAAGGCGTTCATGGATCACTCCTTTGATATAAACAATTTGATGCTATAGTGTGCACAAATGATATTTGAAAGTTCCTGGAGTTCTTTCTGTGCTTTCAGTTGGCCTTCGTTGTGAGTTTCACTGTCATTCATAGTGAGTTGCACTGTTTCTGAGTTATTAAGCTGGAATTTCCCAACTTCTGTGGACTTCTCACAGAGCTGTAAGGGGACAGCAAAATGTTACACCGTGAGTTTGCTTTTGTCATAAGACACTACAGGCATTAGTTCATGCAACATGGTCTGAAATCCATAGATCAGTGATGCAGAAACTTTCTGGTATCTGGCACCAAATGCACTTTTAACATTATCATAGATTGTCATCATCATTGGTCACCAAGATCATGTCTGGTAGTGCAAAAGGCAGCACCAGCACTTCCTCCTCTTCCTTTCATTGGGAGACTTTCCATGAACTGCTGCTGCTTTGTTTTGTCTCCACAGGAAATAAATCTTTTGCAATGGGAAATTGAATTTGATCAGGATAGATTTAAAAACATAGAAGACACGTGGACAGAAAAATATGACAGGTATTTAACCTACACTGTGTATTTTGGGGGCTTTTTTTAATTGCATGGAATGCTCTATGTCACCTTTCTTGGGCTTCAAGTTTTCTCCACCAGGTTTTCTGGGTTTTTTTGTGTGTTTTCCTGATTTCCTTCCAAATTTGGGAAGTTGTATTTAATATTCATGCTATTCTCATTCGTATTTTTCAACTGAAACTAGTAAAATTAGTAAGTCTCAATTCCTTAGTGTGTATGTAGGCTAGCCTTGCTAGGCTGAGTGTTCATTTTCATCCTGTTACATTATTACATGAGCCAGCTGGAGCCAGACTGTCCCTATTTACTTTAAACATAAATGAGGCATAGAAAATAATGGTATTTGCATGCATGTGGAAATAGCATTTGCTGGTTAATCATTGCTTTATTTTCTTGCATTATAGGTATCAGCCTATGTACAGGTAAAATGGAGTGCTTTTGAGACAAGCTGATCAACTGGTTCTTTGTTTAAATAAGAGTTATTCTGGACTGAGAGCAGGTGTGGTTAGGCAAGCAGAAGATGCCAGAGGCACTAAACTAATAATGCAACAACAGACCTTGGAAAATGTGACCAGCAGGCTCACTTACTTAGATGTAGAAATGATATAGCTGAAGTCTACCTGCCAGAGTTACTGTTTTTTAAAACTTGCAATCTGAGAATCAGAAAGTAAGCCAAAAGTTAACAAACTATTAACTTGTGAGAACAGTTTTATTAAGAAACGGTGTCTTGTTCGCCTGTTAACTTAGTTAACACTTGTCAAGGGATACCCCTTGAAAAACCCTCTGGCTTGCCTGACTTAGGAGACTGGAAGTGTAGCCAGGTAGTTTGGAGCAACAGAACTAGTGTTAACTGTCAAATGCTGGAGATGCAGAAAACTGCAAGCCAGGAGCTTGGACTGCTTTGCAAAAAGGTTTTCTGGTACCTGAGACAGCAGGATGAGAAGAGTGTGTATTTCCCTTTGTTTATTCAAGTGAAATAATTCGAGTTACTGTTTAAACAAAACTATTAGGTCACAGTACATTTTATTTACTGACAGCCAAAGAGATGCATCAAAAATTCTGTTGCCTAGTAGTTCAGATTGGCACTATTCTATTCAAGAAGGAAATACTTAAATAACTCACAGAAAAATGCATTATATGCATTATATCTTGTATGTCTTCAGGTTGCCAAGCTTGAAAATACAGGTGTTCTTAAAAACAGTATTAAGACTGCAGGAAGTTTATTTTCTAAAACTGAGACCAGAGCCATGTTGTCACATGCCCAATAACAATTTTGTTCTTTCAGGGAAGTGAGAGATTTCTAGCAAGTGTTTCAAAAGGTCACAATTACTTATGTCTTTGAGTTTCTAATGGTAATGTGGTAATCAAACTTGCCTCTCACTAAACTCTGGAGCTGTTTGTACTTTCTACTTACACATTAATGATTTTTATCATTTTTTCCCTTCCAACATTCACTCGAACATACGTGGACATGCTCAAATTGTTTGTGCTAGGGTGTGGTTTTGAGAGCAAGGTGAGTCTGTTTGAACAGCCCTTGCTATCTGGGTGGCAAAGCAACCTCTGCAGAGATTCCTGGTTTTGTTCCCTGCAGAGCCAGCTGCTGCCTGAATAGTGTGGACTGCACAGAAGCCAGCCTGGCACAGCCTGTTTCCTTAGCTCAGAGGTGGCCAGACCAAGGCTACACACACAGCTTCTTCAGAGAGTTAGTCAGGAGTAGTTTCAGGTTGCTTATTGAGCCCTGGCTAGCAGATTTGGGTCTCACAGCCTGGTACATACTATTGGTACAGAGACTGTTATGGAAAAATTTTACAATTTTTTCTACAAAAGCCCTTACCAGCAAGGACACTGGTTGTATTATACTGCATGGGTAATATTTCATCAAACTGAGTACTCAGCTCTTCAATTCTGCTTTTTTTTTTTAATTTAATCTTGAAAGTAATCCTAATTTTTATTTGCAGAAACACAATGTTTTAACAGGCTAATTTGTTGGGGTTTTTTCCTTTGAGTTCCCCTTTTAATACACTATATTTTTTAGAAGATAATGCCTCTATCTAACTTCTGCAGGATATATTGTGAAAATGCTGCTCTTAAGGAAGCACTGAAACTGAGAACAGAAGAAGTTAAAACTCTTAAAGCTGAAAATGCAAGTAAGTCACCAACAGCTCTTCCTCTTCATAAACTGTTTCTCAGGAATCATTCAGGATTTAGCTACAAGGGAAACTCTCTGTCTGGATAAGTCTTGTTACTGGCAGGTGATACTAGTGGATATGTAGAAACCCTTTTTAAGCAGAGAAGTTGCATTTGTTTTTCTTCTCACATTGTCACTTAAACTGAAAAAAACCCAATAATTTATAGGAAGAGTCAGGTATGCATAGCTTGAAGAGTAGATCATGTGTGTAAGAAGTACACCTACATTGTCTCACTGACATGGTAACACCCTGGGTGTGGTGGGACATGCCTCAGTTCTCTGGTGACATTCCCACATAAAGATTCCTCTAGCACAAACTTGGTGGCTTTACGGCTTTACAGTTCTGTAGGACTATAGTTATGAAGGAAGGGTCAGAGGATTCGAGCCCCTTTTCCTTATGTTGGTTTCCAAAAAAGCTTTAACATCATTGGCATAGGTGATTATTTTCCCAATATTGTGCTATTCTAGAAGAGCAGCTTCTGCCCTTACAAGTGCACAAAGAGGATAAGCCCATTGTCCTGATGCAGAGGAAGATACAAGATGGTATCTCTGCCAGTGGGACATTTCCATTAGGAAAACACAGATGGAAGAGAAAGGGATCCGAGTTTCTATGTCCATAGAGTCTCATTGTGTTTCCAAGCTATGCTTAAACTACAAAAATTACTCACTTGGGTGTAGTTAAAAAAAAAAAACACAAAAAAACCCCACACACAACAGGCTTTTTAATCTCTTTCCTTGCTTTATTTCATAGTCCTGAATCAGCAGTGCTTGGAATTTCTTGCAATGCTGGATGTGGAACAGCAGAAGGTGGTTCAGGAAAACATGTCTTTGAATAAAAGTGACATTACAGATTTCACAGGTCTTGAAGTAAGTACAACCTGCATGTTTTTCAGAATGGTTGGTTCAGACTTATATTCAAAATACAGAAATACATTTTGCTTACTGATTATTTAATTGTTTCTTGGGACCCATTTTTAGCCAATCAGAGTATATCCTTACATGCCTGTTAACCAGTTTTCTTATTTGAGGTCTGCCTTGTAAAGAAAGAGCAGATGGAGCATCAGGATATTTTCCAGAGGCAAGCAGGCTTATTGTTATTTCCAAACACCTGAAATCCTAAGTCCTGCACCTAGTGCTTTGCTTTATTGAGCAAATAAAGAAATTCTGATGAGGTCTGCAGAGAGAAGGGTACACAGGCTGATGATTTTTGCCTCTAGGTTATCTTGCTGAAAACTACATTTGAGACAGAAGCCATCACACCCAGATCTCTTGTAGCTTCCTTCCCCTGACCCTTGCACTCCCTTTGTAGTTTCAGGATGATTTTTTGCTAGTCATCTAGCATCCCTTGGATTGTGTTGTGTATGCAGTTAGATATTTAACTGGTGGTTTCTTTTGGATTTTAAGCTGGCAGTTCTTGGAGCCTGCACCTGCAATACTTCTGGGGGGCAACCCTGTCCCTGTGCTAAAACAGCAGCTGTGACTCGAAAGCAACTTCTTCATCTCAAGCAGGAGGTAATGCTTCTTGGCTGAGACATGAGCAAGCAGAGAGGTTCTTGTGCTGAAAACCACACAAAGCCAGAGAGACACTCCACTGCAGCTTGCACAAACTAGTGTGTTTGTAAATAAGAATGCATCTCAGAAATCGTGGAGCCTCTTCGTAATGCTTGCAATGCCCCAACATTTGCTGATATAAATTTGTGATTGTTGTCTCAATCAAACCTTCTCTTTCACCTTCTTTCACCTTTCACCTAAGTTTCTTTACCTCTAAGGTTATGCACTCTGCAAATGTATACACAGTGTGAATGTGGACTGCTGCTGACCCTTCCCCACCCGTCCTTCCACCTCTCCCTCATATCAGCACTCGCCAGCCTGCTCACCCAGCCAGGTCAGGAAGCTGATCTTGCTGAAAACTCTGTATTTACATCACACCCTAACTGACTAAATAATTTTCAAGATCTAAAGGTTTTTAATGTAGTGAAATCCTATAGTTCTCCAATTTTTCTTCTGATTTGTATTTGATTCAGCAAATGTGGTGACGATCCTCGTGGTCCTGGTGCAGAAGTTCTAGCTGATGTACAGTTTTGATAACAGATCCTGTCATGTCTCTCTTGTCCCAGAGTCATTATTTCCTGACATAGGTATTTTTCTTCTGCTTCTTTTGCTCCTGGCCCAGCTGGCATGGGACACAAATGCCCTCCTTAAGCTCTTCTACATATGCAGAGATAAGCAGGCATTTCTGGCAGCTGGTGTGTGTGGATGGACAGAAGGGGAAGTGTAAGGACCTCAGTACACATTTCAAAATGTATTTCTTAAACGTGGCAAAGAAAGCACATGGCTTGGTTTCTGCTACTTCCTTGGTTATTTTTAGTTAAAAGTTTTCTGCATTAATGGTTTCAGTCTGTCTCTTAATACACATTTTAAACCCACTGTTGCTTCCAAATTGCTTAATAACACTTTACATTTCCTCTGAATTAAAACCAGATTGAAAATCTGAAGAAGAGTAAAGATGAAGCTTATGTAATGGCAGATGCCTTCAGAATTGCATTTGAGCAGCAGCTAATGCAGAGGAAGGACCAAGCCCTGAGGCTTGCAGAAGTGATCAAGATCAAGAAGGAAACGAAATTCATGAACTGGAGACGGCTGAAAGATGATGGTAACTGGGCACGCTCTGTGTCTGCAATGCTTGGCTAGAAATGATTTAGCTGACAAGTGGCACAAGCAGACTTTTCTTACCGGGTTAAATGTGTGGTTCTGGTTTAAATGCTGGCTGGGGTTTCTGAACAGATGAGAAAAAAGGAACAAAATTATGCCAAAATGGTAAATATGTTAAATAGAGCGTCACGTAGGTGAAGGATTTGCTGCAGGTTTCGCCTGTGTCATGTGAGGAAGATAAGGGGAATATATAAACACTTCTGTAGGACATTGGAACTACCAGGCTTTTAATGCAACCTTTTTTTTTTTTTTAATTGCACATTCATAAACTGTATTACAGGAGTAAAAAACATGCAAGAATAAATGAGCCATTACCAGGGTGACAATACCACCCTGTATATTGAAAATGTTTATTATGAAAACAGCACAGAAAAGCTCAGTGTGGCAAGTTTAGCCTGGCCATTGCTATCTGCCATTTGATGTGCTGGGCTTTGTTCACAAGCTCTATGTAAGAGTTAAGGAAGGAGGAACAAATGCAAAAAAATATCTATACTGAGTTTTTTTCTGGTTTTTGAAAGCATTGCTCGTTTAGAAAATGCTCAGTTTTTAGTGTCTACCTTGGTATTTATTATTATTCTCCCACTTAACGTGTTACAAAGTGAGTTACAAAGCCCTCTGTAAAGGAGAAAAAAATTCTAATTATCCTTTTCTTCATTAGGAAAAAGAAAAGTATTTAAGTGCTTGTGTCACGGTAGCAGGATTTAGAAGCAGACCTGCGGATGTACTTGTGTCAGCCATTGACCCGCAGGTGTCAGCCTGAGAAGTTTGCTGGGTCTTTAAGCACCCTCGGGATGCAGTGCTAAACCAGCAATACATCTTAACACGTTTCCCCGTTGTTTCCAAGCTCTATATGCTGATACAGACGTTAAATAATTTTCATGTGTTTTAATCTTTTTAGAAACCTCAGAAACTTTTAAACAGCTCGTGTCAAAGAACTGTGTCAAAGCCTCCCCAGGCTGTTTGAAAACAGATTACCGCGGTTTATTGTTTCACAGGAGGCTCAAAGAGTGTATTTCCCATGCAGGAAAACAAGTATTTCCTTTTCGGTTTGCCCGTCTGTAGGATGAAAGTCCCGTTTAGCGTTTCAGGGGTGCCGAGGGTGACGCGCCCTGCACCCCATGGGCTGTTGTTCCCCAGGCACAGTGGGAGGAGCGGCCCTTTCAGAGGAGATAACTCAGAATACGGCTCCACACGCGCCCTTTCTTTAATCCCGAAGCAATTCCACATCTGGCCGTGCTTTTCCTCCCCCTCAGGGCCCGTCGGTTTGCGCGGGGGCAGGAAGAACCTGGGCCAGGAGCTCTCCGGGCTGCTCCCCGCGGGCTGCGGACAGCTGGGAGAGCTGGACAATCCCCGCGACATCCTGAAGCTACTGATCGATCTGGCGAGTAACGTTGAGCCTGCCCGTCCTGCCGCCCCCCCCCGGGGCAGGGCAAGGCGCGTGACGAACGGGTTGTTTTCCCCAACCTGAACCCCGCAGGTGAGCGACAAGGAGGAGGCCCTGGCGCACCAGAGGAAGGTGAGTTACATGCTGGCCCGCGCCCTGCACAGCAAGGAGG